TCTTGCAGTGCCTTGGCACTTGCTTCATCCTAGCAAATACACATGAGCCAAGTTAAGCTTGAGTAAAGCTGTGCATAAGCTTTTGGAAAATCTTCAGAAGGAGCAAGAATCATGTACATAATTACATTAACTCTGACGTTTCAGATGACCAGGCCTGGAAATCTCAACAGGTGCCAAGTCAGGTCAAAATTTAGGCTCGGCTTTCTAAGGCAAGAGCACTGTCACAGACCCTTCACCCCCAAAGTAGCAAAATAACTTTCTAAAAGGTCTCTCTCATTATTGCAGTTATTAACACACAACATCCCGAAACGAACACTTTGATGGGCCCAGAAAACTGTGTTCGCAGCAGTATCTATTCACAGAACCTTTGAGTTTATGCCTCGGCAGACCTTGCTAAAGTAAAGGGCAGCTGAGCTGCAATGCAACATTCAGCAACCATCTCCTGGGGCAGAATCATCTCAAAGTCTCTCTATTGCCAGTGCCGTTCATAAGAGTTGTTAGATTTCAGCACGGGCACTAGCAAAGTGCTGGGCGAGTGTATCCCTTACCAAGCCGGACGCTGAAATTCCAAACCATACATGAACACTTACATCTGCAACTGCTTCAGCCATTTCTAAAAATGATGTTGGAGCCCGTGAGTTGCAAGAAAACCAGAGTAGCTGCTTTTTAAATTTTATGTGTCTCCAGAACTTCAAATTAGCCCTGGAAAGGATTTTAGCCCTTAGCATTTCTGCACTGAAAATGGAAGGAGTTCCTCTATCTGACACTCATTTAAGCAAACCAAACAGTAAGATCTATTTAGCCCTTTAAAGCCTCAGTTCAGTAAGAAGCCTTTAAAGACAGATCCTGACTGTTGTGAGCCAAAGGAAAGAGAAGTTATATGACACTGAGTTCAGAGAGCCTCCACCTCTTTTTTTTTTTTTTTAATATTTACACTATTTTAGGACTCTCTAATTCTACAACACAAACCCAGATTAGATCCTGACATTGTCCTTAAAGCTGGACGTAACCGCAGTTTCAACTGTAATGAAGCAACAGGCAGCATTCTCAGACCATACGTATTTCAAAATTGCTGTGTTAGAAAAGACAATTCTCCAATGACCACAGCAGGGTTAAACCAGGAAGCTTTAATCCTCCTGTCCTGAGTTACCAGGTGCTTTTAAAGGCATAACAAAATCTCACCTCTTTTCAAGGACCCCACCTTTCAGGGCTGACTGAAGAATTTAATTTGAAAAACTTGAAAGATGCCTTTGATGTGGTGAGAGAATAAAACAGGAGAGTTGACACGCTGTGATTTTATCACGTCTCAAGTGGACAGACTCTCTCTCACCTGACTTTCATCTCCATGAAAAGCTCAGTACTGCTGAAGGAATCTGTTCCAGTACACCTGCATGACTGGACAATACACATTACAATCCAGTTTCTAGGTCACTGCATTCACACAGATACTACTGCATTTTTGCATTCCACGTTCATTTTTTAAATACTAATAAAAATAGTAATTTGTAATTGGTGTGTGTTAACTTGCTGGTGGTGGCTCTCCAGCTCAAAAAGAATGACAACCCTCAACCACCAGCTATTCCCAGAGCAGTGTTCTGTTCTGAGCAGCACTTCCCTCAGCACACCTGCACTCAGGGGGGTTGTTTTATCTGCTAGAAGTTTTAATTTTTCTCCTGAAAAAAAGACACAACCAACAAAACTCTCAGAGAAAAAGGAGATTGATTCAATTTTGGTATCTTCTCGAAACAGTCCTGTTTCTCATCAGTCATAACTGTGCATTCGCATTGCCAGAAATGGAGCTATACAGCTACTGTAAGGAAAACCTGAAGAAAAAAATGCTGGATGGACACTTCAAGCTCAATTTCTTAAAAAATATCTTTTACTAATGCTACAATGAAAGCCAAAAGGAAGCTTCATCATCACAAGAATCCTGAGTTTGGAGAAAACCACAGTAAACTCTCCAGATTTTTTGAGTATATGATTCTGAGGAATGAAAGTTTAGTAGAGAATTAATATAAGCTCCTAAATACAATCAGGCAATAAATGACTGTGGGATAACCAACTGCACATAATCCATGGTGACCCCACAGGAAGGGGGGGAAAATTCCAGGTAACCTCTTGTCTTTCGGTTAAAAAACCCCATAAAATAATCTCTTTCACATTTACTGTGGGAGCTGCCAGGTCAGACTATACTTTTGGACAGTTATTATGGACCAGATGCCATTCACGCCTTGGAGGCCTCAGGATGGCTCATTCACTGCAGATAAACTCTGGTTTGATTGCTGCCTGAAGAAGCCAAAAGCATTTAATACAAAAATGCCATCACCGATACAGAAAACGAGCTTCTGATGAAGCTCAAGGCCAACAGTATGCTACCTGTTTCCTTGCTTCTTCAAAGCAAGAAACTGCTATAGCAAATTTGACCCTCTCCGTTTTTAAACAAGTTTTGCAGGAAGTTTTTAACAGCCTTTAAAGAATTTCACTGAAAATCAGCTGCTGAAGTAACCTCCTGTTCCATGGACATCACACCAAAGAACTTCTCTGAATATTTGCATAGCAAAAGGGTAGAAAGTTAAACCACAGAATTTACATTTCCATCAGAGGTCACCCTGATTAATTGTTATGTTTTGGTATCTCTCCCTTCCTGCTTTATTGTCTTCTGCTATGATCTGTTTATGCTCAGGATCTTAAATTCTAACCTAGAATCCTGCTTTAAGAATAGAGGAGCTGTGTAAATCCAGAGCTCACACCACAGGCTTCTGCAGTACAGCTATGAACCCCTCAGCATTACACAGCCATAGGCAGGGCTCTTGAGGTAACTACTCTTCAAGTGACCGAAGAGTAACAAAGGACTCCAGTTTAAGCTGTCTCGGTACTTTACCTCATCCCGCAAGATCCTACCAGACGAAGCAATGTTTACACAACCTGGTGATGCAGACTGGACTCTAATGCAGTTACCTTGTTACTAGAGCTAGCTTTATTTGAAATTACAATAGTCAAATAAAAAGAAACCAAACTTACTTAGGGATCAATTCTTAATGCCTTGAAGAAGGCACATGGTAGCACTTCTATTGATCTGAAAGCTTCACGTGTTCACAAAAATTAAAGCAATAATGACATTAGCAAGAACAAGAAAGTTTTTAGTTCAGGTGGTCTCAAACAGCATATTTAAGTAATTTACAAGATCCCTCCTATTAAAGTTTATTGTTTTATTTTTGTTTTGCTTTTTCTTTCTTAAAATCTTTGTGAGGTATTGGAAACAAAGTGCAAAATGATTTGCCACTCATTTGCCCAAATTTGCTACAACAGGGACACAATGTAAACTAGATTGCAGGTAGTCTCACTGTAAAAGCATGTTTTTAAACTGAAAATACTCCAGTGAACAAAAAATACACCTAGAAAAGCCCACTTTTTTACAAATTTGTTCAGTTTGCTCAGTTTGTTACTCATGCTTTGCTGCTGTCATTCTTGAAAATTTGACTGTATGAAAGAAAATATTCTTTTTGGTCTTAAATAAGAGAGACAACAGAAATGCTGATTCAGAAGGAGCATTGCAAAACAGGTATTTCAGGCATTAAAATACACTTCAGCCAATGCCAAATTACTCTGTAGAGCACATCAAGAAAACAAGAAGAAACATGGCTGGCTGCAATTCCATGAGCTCGGGAGCTCAGAGAATTCAGTGGAGTCATACTGCTTAAAAACACAGTGACTACTGCAGCAGAGGAAATGTTTTAATATGCAGTTAACACAGACAACTGTTATGCTTATTTTCAGATACACAAGATAATCTGTTACTATTTCGGGGAAATTTGGGTGCTCAATTTAAGCTGATAAAATCTGGGTGCCTAAAAAAGTATAAAAGTATAAACATTTCCCCCTACACAATTACATTTTTAGTAAATTCAATTCAGTTTTAACATCTTTAAAAAAAAGACAAACATTTTCTATGTTGTTGTGGAGGGGCCAGCAGCTTCCTGTGCAGACCACATCCAAGTTGCAAAATGCGTTACAAACCCTTTCAAGCATTAGACGCATGGACAAAACATTTAGCCCATTGCTTAATCTGCTTAGTAGAAATGGTTTTTACAAATTGTTTCTGCCAAACTTTTTTCAATGTATAAGAAGTCCTTTAAAAACAAAAAAACAAACAAACGAACAAAAAACCCCAACCAACCAACCAAAAAAAAACAGAAAAAAACCCAAACCAACCAAAAGCCAAGAGCCTGGGTGCTTGGAAATCAGGCTGTTGTGTAAAGGATTACCTAGAGTAGATGCATCAATTCTGAAGTTACTGACAATGGAAACTGCAGCATCTTTAGAATTCAAAACAATTTTGTAGCTTTTTGAAACCCCCACTGCTTTCGTAAGTGAATGAAGCTGAGTTTTATATTATTTCATTGAGTGTTTTAAAGATGTGCTAAAGATTTTGCTCAAAACATAGTGTATTAAAAAGCTCCAGTCTTGTGTATTAGCCTTCATCAAGGACAAACTAATAAAGCTGCACCAGATGTTTTCGGTGTTCTGTAACTGCATAGTTGAAACAGTATAGAAAGAGAAAGGTTGGTTACAGGTATCCTGAATGTCTGATGTAATTAAGCTTTTCAATTGGATGAGTTTGTGTTCACACTCAAGGCTGACTTTAATCCCACTTGTAGAGATAGGGATCTAGGATTAGCCAGCTATACTTCTGTACAACCTCCAGCTTTTGAAAAATCTCTACCATAATCCACAGAGTTCATTGCTTACAGGCATTTTATGAAAGCACAAACACACATATGAGTACAAACATCTCAAAAGAAACAGAATGTTCAGTTGTTCATTTTCGGTGAATTTTGATTCCCTTTCCAAACATCTGGCTAAGACTGGAGCATAACTTTTGCAGGAGGAGACTGTTTTAACAGAAGGAACATCAATAACTCAGATTAAGGCCATTTTCTCTGAGTTTAGTCTTCCCTTTGGGCATTAAAATATGCTATAAGTCCAGTCAATATATACACCCTTCCTTTAGAGAAACCTTTTGCCTCCCTGTGTAACTTTTTACATGCCAGTTTCAGTTGATCTCCTAGACTGTCATTACATAATAGAGTATGTCACAAAGCCATAAGGAATGTGCAGTATAACACAGTCAACTGGGGCTGGCACTGATTCTGAAACAATGTAGACCCCAAATATGTGCATTTGTGGGCTGTAATGTGTGTGTAGCACCAATTACATTGTCCTTTAAATGTTTACAATGATTAGTAGGAAAACGTCTCCAAACTGATCAACACTGGGTCATCCAGCACCAGACATCAAGTGCTACATGTCTCAGAGGAAAATATGAGTGCATGGTCATTTCTTTTCAGAAGACCAGTGTCTGTCAGCCCACAAGAGGGTACAACCATGCACTACAACCAAAACTTAACACACACTCCCACACCATCTATTCCCATTAGGTAATCTTGCAATGCTTTCAGCCAGTTGACACCAGCTTATAGGCAAAAATGGTTGAACCCAGATCAACAGAGTATTGTCTAAATCAGATATTTTCTTTTGCAGCCGAGCCTTTTCAGTGTGACAATTCACTGTGTCTTGGAATAAAAGAGAAAAAATTGTCACCGTTCAATATTGTCTTCACATCCTGGAACCTCGTTCTTGCAAAATCTGAAACAGACCAAAAAAATTCTATAAATGAAAATTCATTGAATGTCATTCCTAAAGCATGGAGGTCAAAGAGGATCATGACTACTTCAAATAACTGACAGTGTCAGGGATCTGGTTCAAGGATATTCCTGAAGTCTGTGCTTTAAGGCTGAAAAAGACAGGTTGATAGATGCAATGTCCACTATCAAACATCATTAAAACAGATGTAAATCACTGCTAGGAATTAAGTATGATTAATATAACCAAAGCTTAAGGGTTGGTAGATGTAAAAAGTCAGCTGTGTCACCTCATCCTAGTTCTGAAGATACCTTGGTCCTGTATGGTACATGAACTCAGGTACTTTATTAGAAATTGAGTTTAATCTTTATTTTTCCTATTCTAGTAAAATGTCCTTAACTCTCCAAAATTTCAACTGCAAACTGTGTCCCACAAATTCGTACTGAAAACATGAACTAGCAACTCAAAATGTGCACAAATGGAACACTGGGTGAGATGATGCAGGAAGTTTTCAAAGGCCAAGAGTTCGAGCTGGCAAAACTTCCATCGACAGATTTAAATCTGAACTAGATGCCTGGGCTTGACCTTTTCATGAACGAAAGTCAACCAGCTACATTTCTTCCCAGATTTTTACTATGCTATTCAGACATACAAAGGTTGTCTGCTGGACTGACCAGCTATATAAAAGTAAGAACTATCATGACAGCAGGTTTTAAATATTATTACATTATTTGCTCATGCAAGATCTTTTTTAGGCATCAAGTTTTTTAGGCATCCTTGTCCACATGAGCATTATTTCTGCTGACACAGGACATAACACACTGAAATTTTCATGCACTACCTTGTCCACCGTTATCCTCTGAAACGCTCAAGCCAGGCAGCTGACAGGCAGTGCTGGCTCTCACTTGGTAACTCTCTCTCAGGGATTTGGTTCTCCCACTGTTACCAAGGAACTGGGATTCCCATTACAGTGAGTAAAGGATTTTTATTTTTTTTCCTAAAAGCTGTTGGTTTGTTTAATATTCACCGTAAAAGGCATATCTTAAACATAGGGACTGAAGCCTAATGGAAACAAAATACCCACCCCTGAAAAACCCAGGAATCCTTGCCTAGAGCATCTTACAACATGAAAACCATGTATTCTGCTTCCAATTTGACCATTTTTTCCTTTTCTGTTTCAATTCTGTTTGGCTCCTGGCATTAAGTATCCAAGTCTTAGGACTGACTGTCCAAGCAACGTTTCTTACGTTGCTACTCTACACTGACTGGCAATCAGCAATAATGAGCTCAACTCTTGGGCTGTGCAGCACTGTGGAGCTGCATAAGCAAACTGTAGAACCAATCATGCCAGTAGCCAAATAAAGCACTAAGCAAAGCTTCAAATATACTGAGCACAACTACTTACTAACGTTAATCTGTAAGTAAAAGTATCTCTAATTATACTTCATTTTCAGTTGCTACTGGAAAGGACTGTTCACGTCAAAAGCTGACAGGAAGCAAAGGCACAGTCCCTGGACAATGGCAAAGCTGTCTTCAATGTAGAATTTCCTTCTGTGATGATTTCAGTGTAATCTGACCCAGCGTAGTGTGATCCTAGCACACAGTAGCACATTCCATCCCAGAGGATACACAGAATCGGACAGTACACAGAAACACTTCAACCTTTGTGCTTGCAGGGTAAAAGCTGGCAATCACTTAACACAGCAGAGCCATTTCATGTATGGTTTGAATAAAAAACCATCTAGGTATTTGTTTTCTTTTGAATACTGTGAAAGCATTGATAATTTAACCTATCAGCTTCTACGGAGCATTGAGCCTAATATGTCTTTCATAGCGTTGTCAGGTAGGGTCTCGCCTCCTTTGCACAACTCCATGGAACTTTTTAAGGTCTGGAGTTTATGATGAACTCGTCACCATGAGTGTGCCTCAGGGACAGCATAGAGACAGGCCAGTGTTCGCTTAAAAAAAGAAAGGAATACTCTGCTTTACCACCTGCTCACTGCACTTCCTGCAGTACCTGCATCTCCCCATGCACACCAAGTTCTTTCTCATTTCAAATTCAGTATTACTGAAGTTACGAGGCCAAATGTCACTGCAGCTGCTCTGCTAAATTTCAAAAACACAGAAAAATGTTTTCGATGGGCCATGACATACTTCAGAGTGTTATTTAGATGCAAACATTGTTTATTTCATGAAGATAATTTACTATGTGTACTATGCAAAAAAGCATTTAATATGAAACTAGAAAAGATAAAAGTGAATCATGTGAGGAAAACCCAGGTCCTGAAAATTGCTCAGCCACTGCTAGTGTAACACCTTCAAAAGGGATTAGAAAAGCTTACTGAAGGTAGTACCACTGGTACCTACTCATGGGATCACAGTGTCATGGCAGCTTTCATACAATGATCTCCATGCAGGCGTGAAGCTAAAATTCCTAAACTGAGGCTTACTGGAAGGTGGGGAAATATACCAGGAGCTAATTTTATAAATGCTTCATACTTAGAACTCTTTTCTTGAGTATTTGCTGTTGCTCACAGCTGAGAACAAAGTGCTGGAGTAGATGCCCACATAGCAGATAACAGCAAAAGTAGTCAGGAAGTTAAACGATCTCCAACAGAGGCAAAACCATGGATAAATAAGTACCTGCGCAGTTAGAAAATATTTCATCTATTAATTTTGTGAATCTTTCCAATTTAAAATGAAACAATTGAGTCTATTCTTTCCTAGAAGATAAAAAGTACTTCCAAGATTAACAGAACTATTTTCTGTAGCTTCAGAACATGTACAACAAGATAAAGCTAAGCCAGATCTGGACACTGAAATTTGAACACTTCACTGAGCCAGTAAACCCAACATGAGGTAGAAAATTTTGTAACACCAGGCAATATTTTAACGTACTTTGCTTGCTACTTCTTCTGTAAGACCCACCTTTACATATGGGGAAATGATTTCTGATCAGCAAGCTCTCAGCGGGTGTTCAGAAACTGTGAAAGGATCTTTTCTAGTCATGGGCAGTGCCTTTATCCAAAGAAGAAATACAAAAATTGTTCTTACTTACTAACCACTGGAAGACTGACTCTGCTGCAATGTGAAATTAATCTTTTTATTTATGTGTCTCTCCTGAAAAACCCTTTAACAAGACTATTCCTAAAGATTTTAGTAGGTTACTGAACAAAAATGCTGAGAGAATATGTTTCAAAGCTAACAGAGGTCACAAAAATCTGAGAACCGTTATGGCAGGTCTTCTCCTAATCTGCTAGTAGCCAGGATTGTACAGTATGTCTGCAGCAGAACCAGACACAGAAGTTTTTGTTTGAGGACATGCTCTACTAACTGAATAGGTGACTTCACTGATAATGCTCCTCTGTCTGCACACTTCAGATCACAGAACCACTAAATGATTTAGGTTGGAAGGACCTTTAAAGATCATCTGGGCAGGGACATCTTTCACTAGATTAAATGCTTGAAAAGATGCTCAAAGCCCCACTCAACCCAACCTTGAACACTTCCAGGGATGGGGCATCCATAACTTCTCTGGACAACCTCATAGTAAAGAATTTCATCATTTTATCCAGTCTAAATCTACCCTCTTTCCGTTTAAAAACATTGTCCCATGTCCTGTTGCTACGGGCCCTGGTGAAAAGCCTCTATTTGTCTTACAAGCACTTTTCAGGTACTGGAAAACTGCAATAACATCTCTCCGGAGCTTTCCCTCTCCAACCCAAATCACCCCAATTCTCTCAGCCTTTCTTCCTAGCAGAGGTGTTCCAGCCCTCAGAGCATTCTTGTGTCCCTCCTCTGGATCCACTCCAAACAGGTCTGTGTCTTTCTTGTAGTGGGAACCCCAGAGCTGGACAGTCCAGACGCTCCAGGTGGGGTCTCATGAGAGCAGAGTAGAAGGCAAGAATCCCCTCCCTCAACCTGCTGGCCATGCTTCTTCCGATGCAGCTCTGGGTAACTGGCTTCCTGGGCTGCAAGTGTACTTGGCTCATACTACCAGTATCTCCAGGTTGTCCTCTGCAGTGCTGCTCTCAATCCATTCATCACCCAGTCTGCACTGGTACCAGACACTGTCCCTACCCTGGTGCAGATCTGCTGTGTTCAGAATTTTCCTTCTTTTCATGCTCTGTTCTGTTTTCCCTCCAGGTGCACCAGATCCAAAGTTGACTTATAAACTGTAAACTATGCTGAATGCACTCTCATATCCTAGGGGCCCGAGTGTGACTGCTTCTTAAGGAAGCAGAACACGAGAGCTATTTCCTCCCACTCAAAACAAATCTGCTGCACACCGAACAGCATCTTAAGGAGTGTTTGTCTCTCAGGAAGCTTAAAAATCTTGCATTCAGTTCCAGCACAGTGCCAGCTGATCTTTCCAATAAAGCTTCAGATTTGACCTGTTCCTTGCAGCCACTCCTGCAGACTTGGCGAAAGACCTTATTCTACCTCAGCAGCAGTTTCTGTTAGCATCAGCAAGAAGATAATGTAGGTTTTTCCTTAGCCATGCAGAAACAACACTTCAGAGATAAGTATAAGACTGCTTTACAGCTAAAAAGTTCAAGCGTATAAGTAAGAAGCTTGAATTCAGTCTCATGCAATGGTAAGTATCTCAAATTTATACAGGCTCAAGGGACTACCTGCACCTATAACTGAACATTCAACGATATCTTCTAGAATTGGATAGTAGAATAAATATGAGCAGTGCTGGCAGACGCATAAGAAGTTGTAAAAGTTGTGCTTTCTGGTGCAATTTTTGTGTTCTTCCATTAGTGACTTTTAAAGAGGCTTATCTTCAATAAGATGATGTACAACGGAAAGGACCTGATCCCTCCACAGATACAGCTGCTTCCTGTGATAAATATAACTGTAGCGCTGAGATCACACTGTTTACTTATATTTACTTATATTTGCCAGGTCCTGATTCAGAAACTATTAATCTCAAAATTATCAGCTAAGACCATCTTTTGATGAGGTTGTACTGAACACGTATCCTGTAGGTTCCTATCACATGACTCTACATGTGAAAAAAATATTAGACATAAAAGCTGGTGCACAGAAAATAAAAACGAAAAGCAATTCTGACCCTAGAACCTACATGAAGAACTTTTCTTCCCAGCGAAGCTGTAAAGGAACCAATCACAACACAGTTTATAACAGCAACACCAGTTATTCTGCCCAAGAAGCAATATCCAGATCAGGAATTCTATCTTTGCTAACTACGCTACAACTATAATCACAACACACATACCACCAGGACTAGCCAAAGGACAGCATTAGTGGGGGTAGGAATTGGATGGGGCAGAAAAGCATCTGGGTAAATTCCTAGGGCAGCTAATGCTCACCATGACATTTACACTTAATCTGAGTCATTCATATCGTAATCCGTTTCTTCATCCTCACTCTGAGAGGCATGCAGCATGCAGCAAGTACAGAGAAAGGAAGGGAAAAGAAGAGATTGCGAGTGAGTTAAAGCTGCAACAAAGTACAGTCCACGTACACTTGAAGCATCTGTGAATGCCATTTATTTACTTCTATGTGGGACTCCCACTCTTTGTAAGGAAGTATGACAGCAGACAATTTCAAGGAGGAACATTACAGATTTCATGAAAATTTCCTTTTTCAGATGTCCTAAAGTCAGCAGATAGAAGCCAATAGTGCCATGCAACATAACAACAGGGACCATAAGTATAGAGACAAGTTAAATAAAACTGTAAAACTGGTACCTTAACTCCATGTACTCTTCACCATGGACGGGAAAGGACAGCACTTGAGAATCAAACTTTGGGTGCAGACATTATGAACAACCTTTGGTCATTTGTCCCAAGAGTGACAGATCAATAAAGTGGGTACGAAAGAGAATAAAGCTTGTGGGAATATAGATTATCTTTCAGCAGTGCCATGGCTACCATTAAAAGCCACTGGAACCATTTAAGTCAGTGTCCCAAATGCGATCAATTTTCCTAGCTTAAGTGTATTTGAAGGTGACACAAAGTCAACTACTAACTTACTATGCAAACTGTTTTCCAAAGAAAAGACAACACAAGGAAAAGTTCTCTGAGAAGGAATGAAGGTGAAGCTTGATTATATGGGCTATCAGAACATGTGGTTTCCTATTCTGACAGTCCAGTACTATTAACTAAAATTGAAGTGCTGGACAATAAAAATCACACACTGGCAGTTTTGTGTTTTCTCTAACCCAACCTGCTGTAAAAGTAATAGGAAGACTTTCTCCAAAGCTTCTAAAAGTCTGTCCCGATACAGGAACATATGACCCTGTATATACCACTGGATACCATCATTTCATAGAATCATAGAATCATAGAATAGTTAGGGTTGGAAAGGACCTTAAGATCATCTAGTTCCAACCCCCCTGCCATGGGCAGGGACACCACGCACTAAACTATGGCGCCCAAGGCTCTGTCCAACCTGGCCTTAAACGCCTCCAGGGTTGGAGCATTCACAACTTCCTTGGGCAACCTATTCCAGTGCCTCACCACCCTCACTGTGAAGAACTTCTTCCTTAGATCTAACCTAAAGTTCCCCTGTTTAAGTTTAAACCCATTACCCCTTGTCCTACCACTAGAGTCCCTAATGAAGAGTCCCTCCCCAGCATCCTTGTAGGCCCCCTTCAGACACTGGAAGGCTGCTATGAGGTCTGCACGCAGCCTTCTCTTTTCCAGGCTGAACAGCCCCAACTTTCTCAGCCTGTCTCCATACGGGAGGTGCTCCAGTCCTCTTATCATCCTCGTGGCCTTCTCTGGACTTGCTCCAGCAGCTCCATGTCCTTTTTCTGTTGAGGACACCAGAACTGGACACAACACTCCAAGTGAGGTCTCAATCACGTGAACTTCAATCACGTGAACTTCATTAAGACCATCGAGCCACTGAGACGACAGCTCCGAAGGTGCAGGCCAGCTTCCTGAACAGAGCTGCCAGAAACCTCTCAACCAAACCCCTTTTTTTTCCAGGCATAAAACATAGCTGTTAAAAACATTTGATCTGTTAGTGTGGTGCTTCAACCCAGCGCTGTACCAGCTACTAAGAAGGAGAAAAATAACTGTCACAGCTGAACCCAGGACAACTAGAAACACAATATATAACAGCTTATTCTTCAAGTATTGCTATTAGTTGCTAGCAATAGCTCAGCTCTTCCAGGACAAAAGGAGTGAATGTTTGCATCTCCAACCTTAATCAACATCAATTCTGATTCATTACCTGGACAAATTACACCCTGCTCTCTTTCCTGAAACGACGACCAAGAAGCACTTCAATGGAGAGGTTGAAGATTTGGCTCCTCTCAGAGCTACTGAACTTGCAGAGCTGTACTGCCCTTTGAACTGGCTTTTGTATTTAGGGTTTAATAATTTCATTTTATCTGTATCTGCTCTTCCATTAAGGGTGCAGTGTAACTCTGGCAACTTCTGGAGTTCCCTGAAGATGTGCTACCTTTCCTTATGAAGATGTTTATGATCTTCTAGAATTGCATGGTTCATTTCAGGTACATACCCCAGCCCTAAATTCTTACCACACACCTCTAACCTGTCAATTTTGCATCCTGGCAAAAGCAGACCCTGACTGGGGTGTTGGAAACAGTGAGCTGTGGCTTAGCCAGGTTCACTGTTTACCTTGACTACATTAATCCCTTACAACTCCTTGGAAGTTTTATCTCAACAGTGACAAAAAAGCATAAATCAATCATTTCACTAAGAATTCAATGCAAAGGTTGGAGAGCTTTTGCAGTGCAATTTACAAAAATGTCCCCACACAGGTAGCTGCATAACCAAGTTAGAAGGCATAGAAAGTAGTGAAGTTTTATCTGTTTGAGGCCTCAGTGCCAAGACCCAGATCAATTCTTAGGCATTATTTCAAAATGCATTTCTTTGAATGCTATTCTTGAAAAAGCAAGCTTTGATGTTTTACCAGTTGTCTTTTGTCTACATATACTAAATTAAAAGCTTTTAAGTAAACTACAGAAGTATCCAGTTTGTAGTCATCTCCCCATACACAGCAATAACAGAGTGATAAAAACTGTTCAATATGCATGGAAGAGAAGAATACACTCACATACATGAGTGGTCTGCCTGACTACCGTTCTGTTGCGTTTTTACATTTTCCCTTGTACAAACTCCGAAAGACTGAGCAAAATGCCAAGACATTGTGCCTGTTACAATCTGCTTGGAAAGCTAGCTACAGAAAGTAAAGAGACACCTGAAAATCCTAAGCTAACAAATACCTTCATTTTATAACATACTGCATATGACTATGTTTTTCAGAGACAGCATATTACAATCTCCAGTCTTGACATTAAGATTTCTTCTGTTGAAGTGTAGCAAGAAAACCAGTTTTCAACTGAACCAGTGGTAGAATAAGGAAGCATTCAAATTTGTAAGAAACAAAACCTAGATTCTCAACTGTAAACAGCAAATATCTGCCAATACTTGAAAAAAATCAAGACAGGGATCAGGAACATCGCAGACTTCTGGATTTAAAGAACCCATTTGGTGTAACAAATGCATGCTGACTGTACCATTTACAGCCATACAATGGACAGGGAAAGATTATTAGTCATGAGTGAAGGGAAAAAAAGCAATTAAACAATGGTCCACAACAGAGGTAGGCCTAGCAGGACTTAGTGAAGCCCACCTAATCCGACACCATTTCTTTAGTCCAATGTCTCGCAACTTACCTTTGCTTTTTCACTGGGTTCACTGGTTGTGCCATAGGGAGTGTTATGCAATTCCTTTGAGACAACACACAGAAATTCTGCCTGATCTTCATTGCCATAGTTATAGGAAGAACCAATACTGACCAGCTGAAAGATTGGGGGGGGAGGGGAAAAAAAAGTCAACTGCATTTCCACATAAAACAAACTCCGTAAATTCTCATCATTAATACAAACACTCCTCACTCTTCAGACTGTTGGCTGTGCCTGAAGCATGATTCTCCACTTCAATGCAAATACATTTTGATGTTGACAAATACACCGACACTCTGATGATAAGATAAACATAGTTTTTCTTTTTAAACCTTCACAGAATTAATGATTTAACAGTTATGATTATTCTGTGGCAGAAAAGGCTACAGAGGCAGGCCAGAGGAGAAGTAGCCTCTTCCCTGTTTCTGTTATTTACTGGAAACCTTCCCATCCTCCAAAGTTAATTTTTAAAAAGTCTCTATGTGGTATCTTGATGTGGTGTGATTTAACACGTAAATGGCTGCATGCAGGAAGCACTTTAACCTGAAGGGATACCCACGACTTTACTTACAGATAACAGTACTTCTATTAAAACATATTTTAAGGGTACAAAGACAAAATTTGCATTTGATTAGAAAACAGCAAGACACGGCATGGTGGGACACCAAGAATAACATCTGAAATTCATACGTACTGCTACAAGGAAGCTAATTAAGGAAGCACTACAAGCGGAAGCCATGTATAATGTAATGTGACCTATTTACAAGCTTCTACAAGTCTCGACTGAATGATAAATGACAATTTACTGAGCACGAAGGATATACTCAGCATCAGGACTACCTTGTATGCAATGTGTTTATCAAATGGCAGAAGTTTCATGTAACTTGTCTTACCTTACACACAGTTGGTGGAGTAATGGGGGAATTAGAGACACCCTTCCCGCTCCCCAAATCCTCAAAGTTATGTGACAATATTAAAGAAATTTTAGGGTAAAATGCAGCTGCTACTTCTGGGATGGAATGTGGTTGACATGCACAGCATCTACCTTATGACGGTTCCCCAGGCGACCCTGTGACCTCAGCACATGCTGAGAGAAACTGAAGGTGAGTGGAGAGGAGCGAAGGCCCCGTGGCCAGGCTCCGTTTTCCTCCCTTCGGGTGTGGGAACGTGAAGACACCATGTACTGATAAAGTGCACAGCAGCTGCCAAACCAGCGCTATAAAGTGAGCGAATTCATACCAAAAATGTCTGTGGCTTGGTGGATGAAGTTGCCAAGCCATTATCCATCGTATTTGAGAAGTTGTGGCAGGTTAGTGGAAGGGGAAATATAACTCCCATTTCTACCTGCTGACTGGAAACAGGGAAATATAACCCCAGCTCTTAAAGAGGGAAAAAAAGGAAGACCCAGGGCACTACAAGCTGGTCAGCCTCACCTCAGTGCCTTTACTTAGCTTGCCTCTTTTCCAAGCCAGAATTGGGTCAGATGTAGCTGGTTCATTTATTTTAAAGGTTTATTTCAAAAGCGTGACAAAAGAATGTATGATGCTATTACTGCTGACACAGATCAGAGTCCTAAAAATCAACCTGTTGCACAGATACATTGTATCTAAACGTCATTACCAAAACTGTATTAAATCTAACCTACCAAATCACCATACTCATGTGAATGTCCTATTCCCCAGTCTCCATTATATCATTAAAGTGCTCTGCTAATGGCCCCACAGAAAAGGCTTGACTTGTTTTTTAGGGCAACAGCACTTGAAACACTGTCGTTATCTTCCTATAAACAGACTGTGTGCTTCCATTAGTAGTCTAGCAGAGTACCAAAGAGAGTAAAAGCCTCGTTCAAGTAGGGAAGATGCAGCCAAGATGAAATCTTGGTCCAGAATCTGTACCTGAGGCATAAGATTATTCCTCCAACAAAAGTAGAAGGTAGACCTAGGTTAAAACCAGCTTCCATATAGCACTGTCAGAAGAAAATAAAGCCTCACTGTATTTTTGAGGAGACAGAGGAGAGAGATGGTCAGATGTGCCAGCACTTGGCAGGACAGCCAAGCAAGCACCTCCACAGACAGGCAGAACCAATGTCTCCAAAGAGCAGCAGGCAGTTTGTCTGCACAGTGAACCACTCAATGCCAGGCCTAGGTGGTGTCAAATTTTTTGGACCCTGATAGTAGCATATAAGGCTCGGCCTTCAATGAACATTACTGATAATCAAGATTCAGCACTCTCAAACTACCTACTTTGGCTACTCTGTCTGGGTGTGATCACAAGAAACTTTTCCCTCCCTTCTCCACTCCTAACATCACTCTAGTTCTGCAAAATACATACATACTCAATAAGGAACACAGGCTGATCAAAAGTGATTGTGCTAAAGAGATTTTTTCCCAGAAAAAACATGTAATAAAGTTACAAAACTCCATTTTTCTTTTAGAAGCACCAATACATCCTCATTGGAATACAAAGGCACCATTTATCTTGATACTTTAAGTCAGCTAATCTTCCACTCTGCAGACTGCACCATAACATAGTTGTGTAATACATAATCACAAAACCTATAAGGTAACTAGTTGCTTAGTTGGCCTAAGAAAGCCCACTGAAAAGCTGGAAAATAAACCCAGATTTATTTCATACATAGAGATGATTTGTTACTTCTCTTCCCTATCAGCAAAAAAATACCATGCACAAATTTTCAGGGAAAAAAAAAAAGGCAGTTAAGTTAGGTTGGCTTTAAGCCTGTTGAAGTGTATAAAATTTATCCTATATATTATATAGCAATTACAAAAAGCACAAATACAGAAACTGCTTCAGTTATTGAGGTAATATGTAGAACTATTTTAAACAGTAGTTTAAACTCATTTAAAGGCTAGAAAACACTAAAAAAGTTGGATACACATTTAAATGAAGCCACACATTAATTTACCTTCTCTGAAGAAAGACGTGAAGAATAAAATGCAAGCATATGCTTTGATTTAATATACAGTCAAGTTTTCGTCTTGCAAAACGGCAAGAACTTGGTATCAGGTAACTATGACAGCTCTGATAACAACCACCAGTAGGAAAAATACTTCTTTACTCATTGACACTCAAAAGAAATAAGTGACCTCTCTGAAAGCAGATATGATACAAGATCCAAACACCAGCCAAATCATTAGTACTTATTCAACAAGGTAGATACTAACATCCCACACTAATGCTTCATAATCCAAATAAGTTGAATTTTTGCATGTGGAGACATGGCAGACTGACTACTTACTAGCTATTGGATAGGAGTATTGATTTAGCCAACTACAAAACATCTGGATGACTTTTTGCCATTACTGATCAGTTGGTGCATTTCAAGGTAAAGTTACTTTTGCAACATTAAAAATAAGTTCTTCAAGACTCCCAACATGATACTCTTGTAAGCAGTTCCATATGCATGCAACTAAGTGTTTATTATTTGCATAGCATGCCAGAAACTTCATTGTAGGTTTTTGAGAAGCATCAGCAACAATAAGGGTGATGGCAGAAAAAGGAACAATGGAAAATGATTGCAGATTAGAACTGAACTGTTGTGTCAGAAAGGAGGATCAGAAACAAAGCAGTATTTTAGCACTTGTATTCCAAAAATCTCCCCCTTCTTCCCAGTGTTTGTGGCAACACTTTAAGAAGGATGCTGATAAAGTGTAAGGAACTGTTAAACTCCCCTACCCCCTGTATCTCCAACCCTGCACTACCCACCCCCGAAAAAAACCAGAACCCACAACAAAACAGAGCAATCTGAGGTGAGTAAAACATGCATTACAGTGCATAGCAAAAGGATTTCAGGTTATCTAGGCTACTCTTTCTGAGACTTCCTGAAAAGACAAACTCTTTCAGGCTCATGGGACTTAAACAGAGAGGTTTAATGACCAAGAACTTAAGAAAAAAAAAGAAAAGAATATTTTTAAACTCTGAATTTCCTCATCTGTAGAACTATATACACAGATGTATACATGCATCTATGTATTTTTCCTCGTTGGTTTCTTCATTCCACGACTTCTTTCATCACACTCCTTATTAAAGCAGTGTGATCCTGCCTGAGCATCCCTGTGAGCCCCCATGTCATAAGCAAGCGGAGGAAAATGCCAATGTTACTTATCACCTAAATTCAGTATATCATGATCCATTTACTGTTTGCATAGAATAAGGGTGCTGACACTAGTAGACTGTCAGATGTAACTAAAAAAGGGCAGGTATGGAAGGCATTTTTGTTGTTGTTTACTATATTATTCTTATCATTATTATTATTACTATTATTATACTTATTTGTATTATATCACTTGATGAGCAATTCAGGTCAGGATTTTCCTGAAAAGACAAAGAAATAAAAACAGGGAAGCTCCTGTCTCAAAAAGTCTGAACTTTTAAGTAAAATAAAGGTTGACAATCAGAGAGGGCAAAGTGAAAAATAAAAACAACTAAGTTTGGCCTAAGAAAGGTAGACAGAGACTACCTGGTGCCTTGCTACCGTCAGGCTTGTTTTCAAAGAGGAACGGTTTAAGAATGATTTCAGGGACAATAGGTAAAAGTTCTTCAGACAGTTATTTCATAAGTCTGCAGCTCTCTGAGAGGATAACTGTCTTTCAAAAATGTCTGCTTAAGAAAAACAGATGACAGAAGTGTTATAGCTGAGGGAATAGATCAAATGATTCCTGCATCAAGTTACTCAGTGGCAGCAAAACACATGAATCTCTTCCTGTCTTAAAATAATGACTGTACAGCTAAAAATATCCCTATGAATAGGCAAAATAGTTGCATCACTTTTAGGAACCTTAGTTTTGAAGCAGGCAATTCTGATGCTTAACTGAATTGAGGCAGATCTCAAAACCAGACACATTTCAGTAACTTGCCTCTACAGATTTGCTATACAGGTTTAACACCACCGATTCAGAATCTACACAAGACATTCAGAGGACAAACTAGCAATAGTGTTACCATCGCAGACAACCACTCCAGTTTGCAGGAACAACATCCTTGTCTGCCTTTGTTTCCCACTGCAGTTACTCACATTAACTAACTCTTCCACTTCATGACTACCAATTTCCTTCTCTTTCTGTGATTGTCTGATTTTCAAAACTGAGTAAATTTCATAG